ATTTTCTTCTTTGAATAGATGTCACAAGAAATGGGAACTAATGGGCCAAAGAGCCCAGGGAAGAGCGGCCCCACATCTCCCGTTGTGTCACCAGAGAGTGATGAAGTGGACTTCGAGGAACTGCAGGTACCACCTCCTGCCACCACAATATCTGTCACAGCAAAGGTTTGTAGAGTGCTCCTGTGATGGGACTGTTTGATAGACGATGAAGTACATAATGGAAATGTCCAAGTAAAAGCAAAGCAAAGGTCTTGTGTAATGTAACACCAAAAGATCAAAATCATATGGTTTTATGTTGGTTATTATTTGATAGGAAATATTAATTACTACATTTAAATAGTTTATATTGTGATATTGATATAATCAGGCAGATTTGATAACAAAGACTTGTTCATTTTCAGGATTCATTACATCTCACTGTCACTAAAACTTTCATGGAAGTCTTGACCACCCTCTCCAAAGCCTTTGCTGATGCATATAAAAGAAATTTGACAGCAAGAGACACGCATCTTGCCCCCTATCGCATCATCAACCAGACTGGAAAGAATGTCAGTGTTGCTGTGAGACAATCTGGATTTCAGGTGAGGTTGCTTTAAAGACTTATCTGTAAAGGGAAATGTGTGGATAAGTTATCAGTTAATAACATTTGCATATACATACAGATATGGGAAAAACAGTTATGAATTACAGCTGAAGTAACCTTTTTGTTTTTTGGGGTTGGTCTGTACCAGGTGGCTGCAGAAGGAGGGGAGAATGTGGAAGAAGTGATGGTTGAGTCAGGTGCAGAGGTTGATCTGTTTGAATTAGCACCACAGACCCCCAAGCACAAGAGGGTAGCATCCCTGGTGGCCGACTACCAAGCTGTCCAGGACCGCAGCATTACATTCAGAGTAAAGTCTTGAGAGATGGGAGTTATTAACTTGTCTGTGTTGATGATATTGTGTAAATGGTTTGCATTTAAGAGAGGACAATAATATTTAGATGTAAATGATGATGTATAAGTTTAGGAATATACTTTATATTCTTTTTTTAATCATCTCAACAGATTGCTGACCTAGGGTGTCAGTGCACAATTCCAGTTAGCCGTGCAGATAAGAGGTACTTCCAAGTTGAACACACACGCGGTGGAGATAAATGGGGACTCGTTGCAGCCATATCTGTTGAAAGTGGCTGTAAGATCATCACTCTCAGCTCTTGTGTACAGGTGTGTGGTTTGGACTAAGTTGATTTATTTTGTACATGATTGATATGAGATGAAAGCCTGGTGGTGGGGAATATATATCGAACCACTGTCATTGTACTTAGAAAGTTTGGTCAGTATGATATACACTGGGTTTATTTCTTGTATTCCCATTTTCTGTGTATGGTAAAGTTTGGACAGCAGTTTTGTTCGACATGGGCATTTTAAGTTGCCTAATAACTGTTTGTGCATGGTACCTGATTATATCCTCTGGGAAGGTTTTTCATGTAATTTCTTTGGTAGAGGGAACAGAAAGGGTCTAGCACTGGTATAGATTCACAAGTTGCAATGACTGCCTCCTCAAAAGTCTTGGAGATTTTTAGTTGCAAAGTATGTGAGTATATGCCTCTTTTGTGTTCTTTGCAGATAACAAACCACTTGGATGTAACGGTGGAAGTTTACTATATGAATGAACGAGGTAATGAAGTGGTGCACGTAGTGTCCCTCAAACCAGGCGAAATGGCGTCTTTACCTCTACATGCAGTTTACACTTTAACTGCAGAACTTTTCTTCTCAGTGGAAGGGTTGGTTCTTTTGATATTTATGTGTATGTGTTGGACATAAAAGATACATTAGAGTATAAGGAATCCCTCACTATACAATCAATAAATATACAGATGATTTTGTATACAATCTTAAACCACTCATGACAGGTAAGTTTGCCAAAACTGGGATGCATTAGTGTGCACTTCTCCGCACCTGGGCTATTGCCTGGCTCATGAAGCATGTATGATGGTATGAAGGGAGAGGAAGGTGTGTAAAGGAAAGGGGGAAGGGTTAAGATGGTAGGTGTACTAGTCCGTGATGATAGGGAAGGAGTTTTGGGAGAAGATCAGATGGGAGAAGATGCTTCCCACAAACATAACCAAAGGCTCTGTGGGGTAGCATGAGATATAGGGATAGAGGGGGGGGCTAGCTGTCTGTTGAGGTGAATATGCTTAGATTTTCTCATATCTGTTCATTTTCTTTTATTTCATGTCTATTTCTGTAAATTTACTGACTCATTTCTAACCATTTTTTAAATAATTTTTGAGTGACTAGAAACCTGTGCCCATGAAAGTCATTCAACTGTGATAATTGATTTATGACATATTTTCCCTAGTCATATAGTGAGGGATGTCTTCTATTATTGTATGTTGCTAGAATTAGTATTCTATTGTATGATATTTTTGGTGGGAATGTGGTATGACTAGCAATATCATAGTTAATCAATGTTTATATGTGGTTGTAAATATTTTCTCTGTGTACTATGAAAGGATTCTTTCCTCCATTAACTATGCAACATAGCTAAATAGAATTAGTCTTATTAGTTCACCTCTAATATCTTGTGCATATTTATATGACATGTACAAAGAAAGAAGTTTTGCTTGACTGGTCTGGACTCGTATAAAGGCATCAGCACAGCTAATAAAGATTGTTTGGGGAGTTGTAGTTTTTTAAAAAAACCTATGGTTAAGCTGCTGTCTTGTGCTGTGCTTGCAGTAGTGAATTCATGAAATCTTTTGATATATCATATTTCCTCCATTTGTTGAGGTAGCATTCACATGTAAGACAAATATCCTCTCCATCATATTTTTGTGATTTCAACAGGCACTCTGTGTGTATCATACCATTCATATGGAGAGATCTTCAGAATTCTCCAGATTTGGTACAAGAACTCCAGTGTGTACCAAGAGATGTGGATGAGTATCATTCTTCACCCTTCTTTATTGCTGTAAGTATAGTTACTGATTTTGTTCATATAGCAAAGAATATATTTTTACTTTTGGAAAGTGAGGTAAAGAAATGGGAGAGCACCATTTTGTGGTGGGTGGTGTGAAAGTCTAGACTCTGCAAGCTTAAAGAAATCTTTTTGTAATGACTTCCAGGCAATAGGAGATGTTGAGCAGATTTTGTGGCAGAACACTTCTCGGCGCACTATGACGAGTGCATTGTACAAGATCCACCTGAAGCCAAAAGTGGTTCTCCACAACTTGCTTCCAGTGCCTGTCTCAGTAGAGCCGCCTGGCACCATGTGTACTAACGTTCTCATGCCAGGTGCTTCAGTTCAGCTGACAAAAGCTCAGCTGGGAATGTCATATCTCAACCTCCAGGTAAGACTCAGTTTAGAAATATTTTTATCAGATGTAGGGAAGGGGAACAGCATGTAGAAGGACTTTTTAGCATATATTTTTGATAATCAAGCATTTCGCTTAACCTTTGTTCGCAGATTCTAAACTATCAAGGATGCGACTGGGTGTGTGGCAAACCCCTGGCAGAGAAGCCGCAGGAACTTAGCGTGTGGACCTTTGAATCCCGGGGGGACATCATGGGCGGGCCGCTACAGCTTGACCTCGGCATGATGGCCTCGGCACCAGGTTCTACCATGACCCTCAATCTCTACTGCCCGTTCTGGATGGTCAACAAGACGGGGCTTATGCTGACCTATAGGGTATGTAATAGACGAGTGTGTGGATGGTTGAAGGTGGGAATTTTTCCGTATTATGGGATTGGATCATTGTTTTTCTTTGTAAATATGTGTTGTTGAATCATATTTTCCTGCACTCATTTTAATCTTTTTCAGATTTTTAAGTGTGTTTCTGTTTTGTAAGTAATTTTTCTATATTGTGATTTTTGTATATGTGATAAAGAGAATGATGGCTTTTGGTCCTTTGATATTTGATATTTTATATTTTCAGATTTTTGAATGTTTGTTGTGTGTGTTTCATGTTTTTGCACTTGTATGATTTTTGTTTTTTGAGTGCCAGACATCATAACTGTTCTTAATAATATCATTATTTGTAAAAGAAAAGAAAAGAAAAGAAAAGAAAAGAAAAAGTCTAGCACAAAAGAAAACAAAAATTGATACAGTAAGTGTCCTTTAACTTGTGGATGATATATGTAAACTTGCCATGTTTATGTGGAAGTTGAATTACAAAATTACCATAAAAAGAGGAAGAAAAATAGTGATTATCATATCTTCTCATTAAGGGTCTGGCAGGTGAGTGATCCATACATACGGATTTCAAGAATGCTCTCCAATATAGTGGAAAACTTGTCTGGGGAACCTAGAGCCTGTAGAATATATTCTTTTTGCCTTTCCCCCCCCTAAATCAAGTACAAAGAGATTGATATTTTCTTATGAATCTGGATGTAAGTAGATTAAGTTATTGGAGAATTTGGCTCTCTGTTCAAGCTCTGTTATACTGAAGGTGTCATTTCAAAGTTATTTTTTGTAGTATTTAGTTTGTTTTTTCAGACAGTTAATAAGGAGATTACATAATTTTGTACTTTGTCAACATAGCATTTTGAATGCAGATATTGTAAATGAGATTGGTGAAAGTGTGCATTAAACCAAGTACAAATTTTATGTCATGAAATACTGCAGTGCATATTGATAATCAATCTGTATATTTTAGATCATCAAGAATGTAAAGTCACCTTTATGCTTAGATGTGAAGAGGGGGGGGGCATAGAACAAAAATCAAGAAGCTGGAGGATTTTGAAAGAATTGGCTGCCATGTAGTGTGACTATACTACTCTAATCAAATAGGTTTTAAAATGTGTATGGAGGGGAAGCAATGTATTCTACTAGTTCTAGGCCCTTGACTATTTCAGATTAGATGTGAAATTTGGCCAGAAGAGGGATTATTTGCATTCTTTGGTATCAGTCTGAGTGTTTGTGTTTATGTAACTTTGTGTGTGTCTGTTTGTCTGTGTGTCTGTGTGTCTCTCTGTATCTGTATGTCTGTTTTCTGTGTGTTTATGTATCAGTATGTTGTTATGTCTCTTGCCTCTGTCAGTTGCAAAACTTTATCCTCATTTTTCTGTTTATCTCTGTCTGTTATATATTTGTATCTTTCTATTTCTTTGTTTTTGTCTCATTTTCTGTTTCTTCCATCTCCCTCTTGTTTGTTATCTCTTGTTTGTCCCTGTCCCTCATTCTTTCTGTCTCTTTGTGCCTCCATCTCTCTGGCTGCTTTCCTGTTTTACTGACTGCTTTTTTCAGTCGTTCCTCTCAGTCTCTCTGTCTCTGTATTTCTATCCCTGCCTCCTTGTCTCTTTTTCTGCCCCTCTCTCTCCCTTGGTTCCTCACCCCCCCCTTCTCTCTCTCTCTCTCTCTCTCTCTCTCTCTCTCTCTCTCTCTCTCTCTCTCTCTCTCTCTCTCTCTCTCTCTCTCTCTCTCTCTCTCTTCTCTCTTCTCTCTCTTCTCTCTCTTCTCTCTTCTCTCTCTTCTCTCTCTTCTCTCTCTTCTCTCTCTTCTCTCTCTTCCCTCTCTTCCCTCTCTTCTCTCTCTTTGCCACACTTCATCCTCCCACTCTCCTGTGTGTGTGTGTGTATGTGTGTGTGTGTGTGTGTGTGTGTGTGTGTGTGTGTGTGTGTGTGTGTGTGTGTGTGTGTGTGTGTGTGTGTGTGTGTGTGTTTATGTGTATGTGTGTATTATATGTATATATTGTGTATGTGTATATATGTGTATGTGTCTATGTATGTGTGTCTGTCTATATGTCTGTATGTCAGCCTTCCTGCCTGCTTGATGGTATGTGTATCCATGTGTACTGTGTACTGAAATATTTACTCATCAGGAAAGATTGGAGCCGTAAAATGAAAAGTAATGCTCTCAAAGATCTCAAACCAAGTTTCTTCTCACTCTTTGCAAATGGGCAGAAATCTCGCAAAGTTGAGCGTGCATCTCTGTCCTCCCCACCTGAATCCCCGAGCAATACCCTTCAGGTACTGGTATCGCATTTCTCTTTACGCCTTGTTCATGTTATATTGTGAGCTTCTTTTCTTTTTGTTTTTTAATCAATGGTTTTAAAATGTTATATGATTTTGTTATTAGTTTTGTTACTTGACTTCTGAGTTTTTGTAGATGTGAGCTCACACGGCTTTGATGTATCATAATTTGTAAAATTTCTTTTACTGTTCTACGTGCTTATGATGTATGGTGCATGGAACTTTAAGCACTTTTTAAATCTCTTTGATAAAAAGTAAACGTATTTTGCAACAGTTTGGTCTCATTGGCACTGTACTATTACAAAAGCACGAGTCATTAATTTTTTTGGTAGTTTAGACACCTAACTCATGTAAGAGTGAAAGGCAAAATTACCCAGAACTTGTAACAGTTACAGTGAATAGCAAAGTAAGTTGATGTTAGTGTATTTGTATAGTTTAGGAGGTTGGCCTTCAAAGGGACAATTGCCACAGCACACAGATCGGGTTCATATTTTTATGTAAAATACATTTCAGAGGAACACCATACCTAATTTTGATCACCGAATGGATAGTAAAGTGGATGTGTGGAGTCACAGAAAATGGATGCATTGGAAGGAAATTCTTCTTTTAAGTTATCCGAAATTAATGCAGAATACAAAAGAAAATGGAAGGAAAGTGAGACCTTAGATGCTGTCATTAATTAGCTATATATGTTATATTCCAAGAAAGCTAAAAGATAAGGATAAAGATCAGCCATTATGTGTTTATTGCCTATTTTTTACAATTTCAGAATAGCCCATTACTCCTTAGTTGTGAGTGTGGTTGGCCTCAGCAAAATTCCTTGTAGGAGGAAAGTTTATTTAGGAGCTAAGTTAGGGACACAGCACTTACTACCACCTTTTCATGCTCAAAACATGTTCATAGCCATACATGCAGATTTGTAGTGGATGTTTTATATGTTGTTGAAGGTAAAACCCTAAGGAAAACCTGCATGTGTTAAGGCTGAGAGATGAAAAGGAAAAAATTTGGAATGAAGTTGTAATTATTGATTATGGACTATAAACTCTGTGGAACACAAATGCAGGATTCTCTCAGTTTTTAGACTTTATTTAAAAGAGCACATGTAGTATTCATAGAGAAAGTTTGCCAAGGGCATTTTGTATATTGGTGAAATGAATAACAGCGCATATTGAAATTAAGCCTTCCTCCAGATTTTCATGATTCATTTCACATTACAAGAAAAGAAAGAATATGTATTATTTTTCTCATAATATTCTGCTTTATTTATAGATGCTTGAAGTTGCAAATTTTGACTACCAAATTTCTGAAACTATTTTTTTGTGGTTTTGTTCCATACATTTCTTTTAAGGTATGGATGGTGTTTGACATAGTTATAATGTGATTTTATGGTTTCCCATTTCTATGCAGGAATTTACAGTTTTAAAAGAAAAAAGAGTGATCTAAAATTAGGTATGGTTATCATAAACTATTAACATCATTTCCAAAGAATAGTAGCAATTCTTCCATATTTATATTTTTTTGTAATAGAGCAGAAATTATAACAGAGT